ATTAAATGATCTGTATGTAGCCCTGTACTATGGATCATTTAACCCATTCATGTTAGCAGAGGATCATTGTAAATGTATTGTTGCAGGCACTCTATATGTACATGTACTATATACTACATATAGAGTGCACTGAACAATAGATTTACAATTATCCTCTGCTAATATGAATGGGTTAAATGATCCGTAGTACATGATATGTAGCCCTGTACCCCCTTTTCCACTTACAGAGCTAGGTTATTTTTCTTTTAAATAAATATTAATGTAATTTTATTGGTATCTATCTACCAGTAGCTGCCTCATTTCCCACCCTCGGCTTATATTCGGGTCAATACTTTTTCCCAGTTTTTTTTGGTAAAATTAGGTACCTCGGCTTATATTCGGGACCGCTTATACTCGCGTATATACGGTAACTGAATATGAGATTGTAGTCCATCACAGGAGTGGACTTGAAGAGGTGGTTACTTTACAACACACACAGAGACCATGGGGAACAAAAGTAGCCGCCCTCCAGAAGGAAGGACAGTGTCAGCACCAATTCAGAGATGATTTGAGGATCTACAGCCGAGGGATACACAAATAAGATACATTTTTGTTATTAGTTGAAGTACTTGAATAAATTTTTAAGGTTAAACTCCTGAGTTTAGTGTCACTTTGATTCTACCACCAATTTGATTTGTCACTAAATGGAAAAAATGAGTGCTGAATATGTGCTTTCCTAGTCACCTTTTTTTATTATTTACCTTGATTTCTGCTTTAAAGGTTGTAAGAGCAGGTCATACAATTACTGATTACAACATGTTAACAGGAGGACCTGCATGTGATGTTGCTCTTTTTTCATAATAATATGAATACATCGTAAATTATCCTTGTTATGTGTGTGGTTATTTATTAAAAAATGTGTTTTTTTTGTTTTTTAGAATTGATGCTTTGCTGCTTGGCCATTATCGTCTAAATCAAGACACTGATAACCAAACCAAAGTTTTTGCGGTTGTAACCACCAAGAAGGAAGAGGTATATGTTGCTGGTATAATGTTCCACGTAGTGACAATCTGAAAGAATATGTTTTTATTTGACTCTAGCACTAGTGTCCCAGAGCATTATGGGTTTTCTAAAGAGAGCACAGCAGAAGATATGTGCTTTCAGACTGTCTCTCACTAATTGTAAGTCTGTACAGAGAAGGAAAGGTGAGTTACAAGCCATTTCTTTTCACATTCAGCTATGTGTGCAATTTGAGATTGAGCTCTGTGAACAGCAGACTTCTTTTTCAGAAAAGCAATGCATTTCAATTCCAGCTACAACTTGGATAGCACAGGAAATGGTTAGATACTCTGTCAGGCTTTTATTACTATAGATAGATCCTTCCTGACCCTGAATGCCACTGACACAGCTACCAATGAATACCATATTAGAACACATAAAACAGAAAAGGCCAGCATCCCATAATGAGCCTCATTGTTAATTGAGGGCTCAACAAAATAAGTGAGAAAAAGTGCCAAAAACATGTTTGCCCACTTCTGGTTTTGTTGGGTCCTCAATAAAAACTGGCCTTTTGTTACCATCTGCACTAAGCGGTGGGAAATCACTCCACTGGGGACGCAGACAAACGCAAAAACATATTTGTTTGCGTGTGGAAGGGTTAAAACCTCTGTTTTTCTATCCATGGTGACAATCATGCAGATGACATTCATCAGGAACAGGAGGAGAGGAAAAATCTCCCGAAGGAGGTCACAGACAGACATCACTGTTTGCAAATGAAGAATCTGAAATGAAAAATGTCACATTTGTGTGACTAAAAAACATTCATATGTCATTTTGTAGGCCTAAACATGAAAGTGAAATAATGCATGTACAAAACACACCACATTCCCTTTAAATAGGAAAACTAGTTAGTATGGTTTGCACATTTTCTTCGCACCATTTTTTTTTATCTTACTAATTTGAGTCTCATTTGTAAAGCCCAGTTGGACCCTCTTAGTTTATTACTGTAATCCAGTCATATACAATAATATACAATAATAACTAGGACTCTTTCTACTTTTTTTCTGCAGTAAGGGTTAATGAACCCTGTGCTGGCAGCACATTGGAGGGTCACACTCAAGAAGCAGCCCAGGTCTCTGACATCCCCCTAAACACTGCCTAATCAACAGCCCTGCTCAAGAAGTGAGAGCGATGTTTATTAGACTAGTGTTCAGTAGGGGAGTTAGACTCCAGGAGAGCTTGTGTGTGATAGACTGACATTCCAGTGTGCTGACACTACAGGTTTTTTTTTAGACATGCTGCAACACTGATTAAAAAAGTCATATTTATTACTGTATATGCAGCTGGACTACATTATAGTAATTTAGAGGGTATACATTTTGCTTTAAGAGGTAATAGAATTATGAGCTGATGTATGTAAAAGTTTGTAACCATACTGCCTTTATTGCTTCACACATTTTTTATTATGATTCCTATGCAGAAACCTGCAGAGTACCAAAAATATCGGTATATCCGCCGTGCCCCAGTGCAGGAAAATGACCACAGCTTTCATGTGGGGCTTCAGCTGTGCTCGAGTGGTCGTCACAAATTCAACAAACTGGTTTGGATTCATCATTCTTGTCATATTGCTTACAAGTAAGTTTGAGAATGTGATGTGTGTGGATCTTCAGTGAAAATGTATTGTCTGTCCTAAAGTTCATTATTGAGGTGATATTTTTCATAGAAATCAATTAGGTGTTTTATAGCCCTTTAAAAATAAAAGCATTAATAAATTGTGCCTCTTGTGCCATTGAAACTACAGTCCCGAAGTTGCAGTGCACAAAGTGTGTGCATGTGATCTTTTTTATGCATTGTTCATTTTATCTATCCAGTTTTGTAATGACTTGTGTCTGATTTTTTTTTTTGCTGAAAAAAAAACCTAAACAGGTCACACACTAAAAAATTAAAAAAAGTACTTTTGTGCAGGAGAACAACATGTTAATAAGCCTAGTTTTCCTTATTGTTAGTCATTCTAAGGGTAACACGTAGAGCAAATGAAGCCTCTCCATTTCTCAGTGTTTCAGAAGACCCAGTTCAGGGAGAAATCAGTGCTTGTCAACGCTGCCAACGTATTCAGTCCTAATCCCAAAAAGCCACGCTCTGATGCCATAACTCCCAAAAAAAAACTATTAGCTTAACTGTATTAGTACTAACTCATTTCACCACAAATGGGGGTTAATCTTACGATTAGGCTCATTAGTGGTGAAAAGCGTTAGGGTGGAGGAGACCTTATGAGGGATTGAGCTTTGGAGCTAATGAAGTTGATATGATTGGAGTTATGGCATCAGAGTGTGGCTGTTGGGGATTAAAGGATATTCTAAGTGTAAGTTTACAGAAATGCATGCTGTCATTTTAGTATGTTATTGATTGTCCATTTTGGTTCTAATGAATGTCTCCTTTACAGATCCACTGGAGAGACTGCGATTACATCATTTGATATTGATAAGATGTACACACCACTGTTCTTTGCCCGTGTGAAGAGTTACACTGCTGTATCTGATAGACCCCTCTAAAAATTCTTCTTCATTTCTGCATGACTTCTAAGGATATTAGGAAAACCGTGAAGCTTTCGGCATACATTTATCTGTGACTTCTGCTGCAAACAGTGGGTGCTTTAAGAGATGATTTTGTTTTTGGGGCATGTAGGGGTAGAATTGTTTTTCTAAAGTTGATCTCTTATTTTCAAGCATTGTGCATTTTGCAGAAACGTTTTGATAATTCTGTTGGCATTACTTGTTCTCTGCTCTCCTTTTTTTTTCCACTATGTTATTATTGAAGTTTTCTATTGTTTCACAAAAATTGCCCCACGGCTATATACATGTTATTCTTCCTAATACCTTCACCTACTGAAAGCGGTACATGGCATAAGCAAATATCAGTCTGATTGTGTCCGTCCACTCTCAAATACAATATTCAATAGAGGTTCTTTAAGACTAGAGGAAATGGAAGAATGCATTGTTTTCATTTCCCTTTTCATGTTTCCATCTAACATTGGATGAAAGCTCCATTTAGATTATTTGGTTTACAGGACGATCAGGGCACTTGGAGATGTCACGAAACTCCTTCCTAGCAAGTGCCACAAGGAGATCCATCAGTGTCCAGTTCCTCATTGGGTCTGCTTTCCTTTACTGTCTATTCTACATCGCTATCAGTCTTACAGAATGCCCTCAGACATCTGGGCAGCCAAAATTAATAAAAAGCAGAGTGATCTGACAGAGCAGTAAGTTGATAGAGGAACTTCACATTGTTAGAGTTGTACATTAGATTCCTTGAACAAGTGGAATTTCATGAACCAAGTGCTGTAATCATCCTCCATCTAAAGCTGAAGTTACACATTTTGTAGCGTTCCCAATGTAATCTTCTTTTCTAGTTAATGAGATGGTTACATTTAAAGGAGAACTATGGGGTTAAGGCTTTTCCTCAAAGTTCTCCCTAGGGTAACGGGAGGACACAAACTAGCGTCCTCCCGTCACCCTAGGCTCAGTATACCGCGAGCTGTAGCTCGCGGTATACTGAGACGCCACAGTATACCGCGAGCTGCTGCTCGCGGTATACTGAGACCGCCCCCTTCCGTTCCGCCAGTCAGCGCTGGCGCAGCGGGGAGGGGGGAATCCAGCCCCTCCCCTGTCACGGCAGAGAGCCGTGACAGGATCGAGAGGTGACCGAACGCCGGTATGTGTTCGCTCACCTCCCGATCTACTGAGCCGACCTGTGACAGTCTCATTGTCCCAGGTCGGCTAGAACTATGAGGTGAGTGAAAAGCACTCACCTCATAGTTCTCCTTTAATACTTTTAGCTGCATTGAGCTCTTGGATTGTAAATGATAGCCTGGCATTGATTCAGATCCCGTGCAAATATATTAGTAAGTTATGTTCACTATAAATGAGAAATGTGTGCAATATTTCCACTTTTTCTAAAGGGAACCGTTGGCAGAACAGTCCTGGATTGTTCTAATCTTACAGGAATGAGGAATGTATTTTGCCACGGAACCCATTCAAGAAAGCCTTGTGTGTTGTGTATCTTTGTTACCTCTGTTTTTCTTCCCTCTCCAAGTTGAATTAAAACTAAGTTCTCGAAAGAGAGGCTGCAAGTGAATACACTGAATGATTTGTTAACTCGTCATGGATGTTGTTGTCATTTTTTGTTAGGTGGCCTGATAATCATGACACCAAAGATAATCTTTATTTTTGGAGCACCACCTTTGTACAGGAAACTACACATTTGAGCTGGCCATAGACTGCTTTATTTTTTTTACATTCAACCTGTGGGCTGAATAAAGAAAATAGTAGATTCCTCCATCAACGCTGCGAGTGCTTTGATCGAGGAATCCCCGCTGTTTCTTTGTATTTTGACGATCAACTCCTTTGATCAACTGATCGAGGAATGCCGGCCGAAAGGGTGTCGACAGTGGCACCCACTGTGCAAATTTCACAATGTATGAGAATTGCACAGTGTATGGCCACCTTTAGGGATTATGTATAAAGTATTTGCATACTGATCAACTCTACAAACGAGATTCAAAGTGACTGGTAGATGGAGCCGAGGAGAACAGGAAATTCTTATGATCCCTTGTGCTATCTAGTGGCCACAACGCACTGTGAATCTCGTGGCAGGACCTTCCTTAGCAAGCAGCCTGTCTCAGCATACCTGATCTTAAGGAGTATGTGGACCTCCTAGTTGTCTGCCTCAATGTGGGGGTTACTGAGTTTTGTAAACCACTGACATAAGCATTGCATTAGAAAACTGGTGCGGTATGATGCCAAACATCGTGAAAATAGATTGGGGAGTTTAGAAAACAATTTGGGCATAAGGAAACGATTTGCTGAACTAAAGGCTGTAGAAAATAAAATTGCTGAAAGGTTTTTTTTCTTTTTTTTGCGTAAGAAACTCTTTAATAAAAGCTCCTTTTCTGCCTGCCAGCAGTTTTCTTCAAATGTCCAGCTTAGTGTACAATCTTGGCATGCAGTTGGTGCTTGGACATATTCCTTGCTTATATGTGGACATTACATCTTTCCAAGCCGCTCTGTCATGATGGCTGAAGACGCCAAACCCAGGAGTGGGCCTGCCGAAGATGTCAGCAGTGGCGGCAAGGGTGATCACAGAAGTCGCATCGCTAGAGGTGGGCACTTTGGTAGGCGTGCATGTATGCTGTGCATACTTGCAGTTTATGGAAAGAGCTCGCCCACCATGTTATGGAACTTAGTTCCTCTTTAAGAAAACTATACAATGGGGCATGATGCCGTACATACTGAAAAGTAGACTTTGGGTTTACATACTCTTTAGCCTAATCTCCTTCCTCCCACCTTCACACTTCACTTTGTGGTATTCTAATTGCCAGCATGCCTGATATGAACATGTTTTCTAGATATCTACACAAAAAGACATTACAAAACAGATGGCATTTACACAAAAAAAAAGAAAAGCTGTTCCTGCATAACAAAAATGATGAAGTTTCAATCACATTGCTAATTAGGCAACATTTATTTATACCATGGAGGAGTATTGTCTGGTCTGGTGTTCTCAAAGAATAAGTATTACTTTAGAATCCTTGGCAGAAAGAGTTTTTATATTTGAAGTGTATAAGTACTCTTGGCAAAAGCAGGAGCCCTGAAATGAATGTTCGTGAACACCTGACTGTCACCTATATGAGGTTGTTAGACATTCTGTACCCAAACCACGTTCATTCTTGTGGAATTGGCCTCCTCTTTGTGGCTGCACTCATCTGGGTGGCTTTCCACAATCGTTTGGAGTGTGTCTATGGGAATGTGTGGCCATTCAGCCAAAAGAGCATTTGTCAGGTCCTGATTTGTGAGGGGAAGATCTGGCTCAAATTCTTTAGCATTCCTAGTTATCCTAAATGTTTTCAGTATGCTTGAGGTCAGTGCTCTGTGCAGGGCACTTGAGTTCCTCCAAACTCACTAAACCATGTCTTTAAGAACCTGGTTGCGTGCAGAGGGCTACATTAATTCTGGATCAGAAAAGGACCTGCTGTAGCATTAATCGTGCCCTTTAATGAAAACACCTGAACTCAGTAATTTGGAGGGGTGTACAAAAACATTTGGCTATAAAGGGTATATTATATCTTCTATGTACAAACCATTTTAGATCCTGGGCATGTGTTCTAGTTCTATAGTTCCAATGCTATTAGGTGGTGGCTGGATGGTGTGTACTTTGATCAGCTTCACACTGTAATCTCATGCCCAATTTTCACTTGAAAAATGATATGTCTTTCAGGAGCCATAGGGGTCAATTCACAAAGCTCAGCGTTATTAGAGTAGAAGTTAATTTATCTATCCTTATTTTACCACTCTTTATTTTACTGGCGGAAACATGCAATTCAGAAAAGCCGGAATCGTGAATGCACACGCAGTTTAACGTTCCTTAAGCTAGTGTTATTTTAACATCACAGACTTTATTTTATTTATTAGTGTGATAAAATAACGTTTTGGGTGTTATTTTAACACTTTTGCAGTGCATTTTGGTAGCAGAAGGGGTGGAGCAGATGCCTAGATGACTGTTACTTTCACTTTCACCACACAAAAGGATTCCACATAGGAAGGAATATATTCCATATTCGCCACATGCGTACTAATTTTAAATTTGGTAGAGAAGAAATCATATAGAAATAACCATTAAAAAAAATCTGAACGGAATGAATATATGAAACATTACATTTATTTAGAGCTACATCTGTTGACAGACAGCGTAGTGAGGCCAAGCAATTTTCCTTACCAGCTATAAAGCCTGTATTGACCACACTGAATGGTGTCCAGGGACATTTGATTTTCGTGTCATGTGAGATTTGCCACTAACTTCTAACTGTAAAAAATCATCTACATTTGTAGAAGGATAAAACCTGTAGAAATGACAACTACATGCCGCCTTCTTCTGTACGCAAAAGCATTAAGCAATGTGAAAATGAAGAAAAAAGGTTCCATTTCTATCTACCTCATGTCATCTCAGTGCAGCAAGCATCAGATAACGCCTGAAATCTGTCATAACGCCACCCTGAAGGAGTTGATAAATCTACGTCTCAATACCGAGTGATAAAAGGACCTTCTCCTTTTGTGAATTGCATTTCAAGCATATTTTATCATTCCAGTTGTTAAAATAACGTCTGAATAGTTAAAATAACGTCTGAATAGTTAATTTACTACTCCTTAAAAAAAAGAAGCGTTATTGAGTTTTGTGAATTGACTACCTTTACACAGCAACTATATAACAAGCTATATCAATTAAATAACGGCCGATATGAACAAAATAAGCTTTGTGAATTGACCCCCTATGTATACAAAATGACACCTGTCTACAGAATCTCTTTCTTCTAGGGATGTCCCGATACCGGAATCGGCCCCAATGCAGGGCATTTTGACAAGTACTTGTACTTGTCAAAATGCCCGGATGCTTGCGCTATGTTTTTTTTTTTTTCTTACTTACCTCGCCGAGTGTTGCGTCACTGCTGCTCTGGTGGGCGGAGCTCCAGGTGGGGTCCTAATTTAGGTGGCCCCGCTTGGAGCGCCGCCCACCGAAGCAGCAGTGACGCTCGGCTAGGTAAGTAAGAAAAAAAACAAAAACCCTGCAGCGGCGAATCAGCGCTGGTCCGGCGAGAGGAGCTACAGGTGGGATACGGTCATGGAGTGGCCTAGCCAGTCTCCAGAACTTAATCCTATAGAAAATGTATGGAGGGAGCTGAAACGTCAAGTCGCCAAGCGACAGTCAAGAGATCTTAAGGATTTAGAGAAGATCTGTAAAGAATCCCTCCTGAGATGTGTGCAAACCTGGTAACCAACTACAAGAAACGTCTTACCTCTGTGCTTGCCAACAAGGGTTTCTCCACCAAATACTAAGTAATGTTTTGCTTGGGGATCAAATACTTATTTTACTCACTGAACGGCAACTCAATTTATAACATTTGTATCATGTTCTTTTTCTGG